CACGTCATTGTATCCCAATTGTGTAGATCGATGCTCATGCTGTTGTCTGGTCCAGACTCAATTATTTACAGACCACCGCCATATAGCTCGGTTATTTCCTCAAGGGACAACTAAAGGCACATTGTCTGATCGTGACATCATTGATGGACTTGTAATGTTGACATCTTCATTACACAAACAACAAAGTGACAGGCTGTATTTCGGTATCTTTTTATTTCATTCAGCCAGTTTTAAATATTTTATAGATATAGATTTGGGCAACAAAACCCTAGAAACAATCATCATAATAACCAAGTACTGGAATGCTCATCGGAACTCAGAAACCAATCCAAACACATCCAATGCCACGGAAAGCATATGGAACCTTTCTGTGTGAAGCAACACTGCAACTATACTAGCTGCCTCGTTGATGCTCTTTTCAAGTGTAATTACAGAAGCAGAATATTGGTTGAGTCAGTGTGCGAAATAGTTTCCTTTTGCTAGCCAGTCGGGCTAGCTATGCCTGAAAATTACCAGCCCATAAAATATTTCACTAACCCGAAATTTGAATGTAGACATGGGCTTTGTCGTTAAGCTGCAAACATGATGACCATTTTTATCAGGCCATAATCTTGGATGATTCAAAAGTCTATTAGTGTATAATAACTTAACAAGTCAGAGAGAGTGATATATATACAAAAAGACCCCATGAAAATTCATGAGGCCAGTGACTGTGGAAATTTACTGGCCCGACTGGATTTTTACTAGCCTCGGGCTAGCGGGCCAGTGGCTATTTCGCACACTGGTTATGAGGGACAGTGACTTCCATTCTAACTAAGTTAAATAGCTATTTTCACACAGTTGGAAGTGTACCTGTCCATTCAAACTAGACGTGGTTAACACATATGGATCAACACTGTTCAAAGGTACTATATTCACACAAAGGGAGGCAAATATTTGTTCTTATGTTGTCATTACTGTATTTTTAGTTGTACAGAAATATGGCATTCCTAATCTTATCTGCAGAGTATCTGCGTCCCTGGAGAAAACATATATTTATCTAAAAAAATAAATATGACATCTTATAGCTTTGATTTCATTTCTGTAATTGTGCATGTCAGCATTGCTCATTATTATGTGAAGAAGGGACATAACTCTAGATTATCATACAGGAAATCGCACACCATGGAAAGAAATTATCCTGAAAACATTAAGGTATAAAGTAATGTTGTCTGAGGGAAGGAAATGTAAATTTTGAAAAACAATTCTCTTGAGATGAGTTATCTAACAATATCGGCCTAATAATATAGTTTTTTAAAATATTTTTTTTGCATGCTTCGATCTGAACCACATTCATTCTAGTCCGATTGCATACAGGAGTGAGTGAGTGAGTGAGTTTAGTTTTACGCCACACTCGGCAAAGTTCCAGCTATATGGCGGCGGGGCGGTCTGTAAATAATCAAGACTGGACCAGACGATCCAGTGATCAACAGCATGAGCATCGATCTTTGCAATTGGGAACCGATAACATGTCAACCAAGTCAGAGAGTCTGACCACCTGATCCCGTTAGTCGCCTCTTACGACAAGCATGGGTTTTGTTGCATACATGAATACTTGAGAATAATTCTGAGCATCTAACTTCAAAAAGTGAACTGATTTTACTATGTACTTGAATCGTAAGGAAAATAGTAAAAATATAGAATTCAAATTATGGTGTAATGATGAGGCGCACCTTCTTTAAGTTACATATGAAAGTGTGCAGGGTTTTCAAGAAAAAGATACAATAAGCACCTTGAGGTTGTACTGGACAAGGTGTTCACGCAGAAAGCACCCAAGCAGATAACACTTCTAGACTGGAATGTATAAACAGATACTACTTTATACCGTATCAGCAATTTTATAGCTATTCACGTCAGTCACAGTTCTGGAAGATCTACATCTGAAACAACATCTGTCAGACGCAAGACCAACATCAGCACAATCTACCTACTATTAAGCTGATGCTAACACTATTTACCGTTCCAATCACACGAATGATGTCTAATGATAACATGGAATCTGGTATTAAATGTAAATATTTAGGCCAGACCAATTTAGTAATTTCTATCACCGATTCATATGCCCAAATACTTCAACACTAAATACTTCAACACTGCTGAAGACATGTGCAAATGAGATAAATATAATTACTTTGTTTCATATTCAACGAAAGAGAATGAACTATAAAATTGTAATAAATCAAAATATATAGATATTCAAAAATTATTTTATAATATAATGACTGTGTTTTCAGAAGAATCTGCTAACATTTTGGTTCAGGTTTAGTCCTTCCAGAAGATTTGAGCCTCAACATCATTGCAAAATCTAAGATGAGATGTAATGTTTATTTTTCTTGCTTGAGAGTGTCTGAACAGCAATAGGAAGTTCTGGGAACAAAACTGGTTTGGCCTAATGTAGGAGTTCCTTGTGATAAAAATACCAGGCATGTTTTGCCATTTTAGATGGTACCGATAGTGGTAAAATAACAGAAGTCCGATCTGAAACAAATCATGTCACAAACAACACTTGGATGAAAAAAACCTGCTTACATATCAATCAACAATTTACATGGAACTGCCTTGATACGAACTGAAACCATAATCTTTCCTATCTCCCACAAACACTGATAGAGACTGGCAATATAACAACGCTAACAATTTTAGTTAGTCATGATTTCAAATTAAGCTGTTGACCCTCTTAACATCATGCCTCTTAATACTGAAGAAGAAAATGTCATTCATCAATAAATCAAAATCCACAGCAGTTTGAGAAATACTTGAACCAATATTGCTTGGCAAGGCAAAGAGACTAATTGCTTGTGATAATTACAGCACAATACTGAAAATATATTGTGAGGTACGTGAAAAATTATGGTGTGGAGTTGGAAGTTTACTTCTGAACACCCTTTCTATGGTAGAACTTTAGCTGTTTTACAGATTGACAGAGGTAGGTAGTTGCCTGTTTCATCCTTATGGCAGGTAAATTGGCAAAATCATCATACTGCTCAAAAACTGATAACAACAAAAGGATATAGAGGATATTGTATGAGTGCCCTTGTCATACTATTTTTATGACACGAGTGCCTAAATGTTGGTATTTCCCTAGCAAGAGCGAGGGATATACCAATATTAAGGCACAAGTGTGGTAAACATAGTATGATATGGGCACGAATATAATATTCTGTTTATTACCAAAGTCGTTAAATTGAGGAAAATAAACCCAAATCTACTTTCAAACATAGGCTGGCTGCCCACCATCGTCGCATGTCTGACGCAACGTCATAGAAGAAACGTGACGTCACAGCATTGTTCATGACGTCAACGTCAACATGACAAAGTGATATTTTGCCCTAGGGCATTGTATGAAAAATATGAACCCCGATAGTTTCGCCCTCATAGGTAATAAAACAGGTTTTGAACGGACATGTGTACCACAGTTTCAATCACTACCTGGAATGTTTCAGCAGATAATACTTGTAAAACTAAAAGTTGTATGTTTTGAACATAAATTCTTCAATGATACATGTTAATCTATTTGGAAGTTTTGATAGTTTTCTGAAAAACCCTGAGTACCATGAAGGACAAGTTTTAATGTTAACTACAGAAGGCTTGTTGATGAAACCGATGGTCTGTTGCTGTGAGAAAACAACTTCATGGATGTCATTACTTGCTTCTCACAGCATGCTGTGCTTCAAGTTGCCAAACTGAAAGTCCAGTCATAAGGTACATGTACTAGTAATAGTCACAGAAACAAATTCATCAGAAACTGTGAACTCAAATTTGTTACGGGTTGTTTAGTGGACAAACAGAATTGTATGAAATAATTGCCAATTCAGCTCATAAAATCTTTCACACGTCACCAGTTACACAAGTACCTAATAGTCTGAGTATTGTACAATAGTCTTGTTCTACATCTAGACTGTGCTTCTAAACAAACCAGGGTCATGTTCCTCAAAGCGATCGTAGCGCTACAACTGTTGTAAGTCTATGTTAAAGTATGGGGGAGTTACGATCACCTTAACGCTACAATCACTTTGTGGAACGGGCCACTGAAGAGGACTGGACAAAAACAAAATCCAGCTCAGGGTCGATCTGTTTGTTGTATAATTTAGCATCGTACTCAGCAATATTCTAGCTGTGTGACTGCAGACTGTAAATATACTATTCACACTTTGCTAAGGATCAGATCATTGATTCAACAGAAAACTATAATGTGGGGTCTAACATGGTTAAGCATGGATCCTAGGTTTCAGTACGTCACTGCATCTTGTGGATCCCATACCTGCTATTGACAAGTGTTGTGTACTTGTCAACATGTTGTGTACTTGTCAATGGCTCGTTCCATGATTTGCAAAATGTTTCATTGGTGCCCTGAAAACCATTTTTATGGTTACTCATGTATCAAGTGCATAAGGTTAGATTAAAGTGGTTGTTTGCCTAAAGAAAGGGTTACCATATCATTATTTATCCAGTTTTAAATGGATACAATTTCAAAATAGAAATCTATGCTTAAGTAAAGTTGGGAATTTTGTGATCCTTAGCAAAGTGTGAGTAGTATATTCAAGTCTCGATCCACAAAGTATTCGTAGTGCTACGACATTCGTAAGCCCATGGTAAACTATAGACTGGTCGTAACATTATAAACACTTTGTGGATTGGGACCCTGACCTGTCAAATCAGTAATTACTGGGGCTGGGACGGTTCCAAATTTCTACCCGGGTACCCCACCCCCTATTTCCCTACCCTACCCGGATACCCGTTATGTTAATTCCTGACATCAAATTTGTAAGAAATGGCAATTTATTCTTCAGTTCGGAGGCTAAAATCTCGAATTTTTCAACATCTTAACCATGTATTAGATTCAAAAGAAGTGACTGTAAATTATGTCTAAATCTTCTAAGACAATACAACCTTTTAATCATGAAAGAATAACATATTACACTGTTTAATCTATTAGTCACATGGTCAAAACGGGTCCAGGTCCAACTCATTACCCACCCGTCCCAGGTATCCGTGTTACCTGTCCCAGCCCTAGTAATTACTATTGTAAGGCATGCTGAACGAGGACACAGAACAACCAACCCATTGAACCTGTTTGACGACCACTTCTAGCCTCAGAAGTCCACATGGAATCCTATATATCACATAGAATTACAAATGAAGGTATTAGTTACCCCTACATTCCTTCATATTGTACAAAGAGTCTTTCAGCTCTTCTCAGCAGGAACCGCATACATTCCTTGAAGAAGGTATTCCTGCTAATCCTGCCTGCCTGCATGTGTCCCTGGAGGATGGCTGTAAGATGTCACTAACTGGCCATGACTTGGTGATAAATTTAATGAGCTGTAAAGTGTATCATGGCAGTCAGTATCTTATGTCTGATGCTATCTGTTTTCATCAGCCAACAATATCCAACATCATCAGCTATCATGCAAAATTGATTAGCTCAATCGTGTTTTACAGCAGTTGAGTAAAAGAAAGAGTAAACCAGATATACAAATCAATACCTTGACAAAGGCAAGGGTTCTTATATAGACCGCCACTCAGGATTGACAGCATCAGTTTTTATATCTGGATAACTCCTGAAATGTGTTCTAAAACACTGCAATGGAACTATCATAGAAGCTAGTGAGTTTGTAAAACAGTTCACTATTACACATTATTTCTTAAAAGATCCACTGAGTGAGTGAGTGAGTTGGCTTTTGGCAATATTCCAGCAATATCACGGCAGGGGGACACAAAGAAATGGACTTCACACATTGTACCCATGTGGGGAGACAGATCCACTGAAATAACCCTATTTTAAATGATTATTTAAACAATATTTTAAACATATCACTCTTAGCTTGATAATGGTGTCAGAATCTGCACAAAAACGTAGCTCTATGCAGTATACAAGAAGTTGACCATAAAGTCGTATGCTTCATTATTGACCCACCAACTTCTAGAATGCCGATCAAACACCATTACTGGAAGTCAAACATGGCAAGGCAAGTACACCCTTGAACTGAATCTCCTTATTTTCTTGATTTCATCAATGGACAATATCTTATAGCATTAGTGTGGAGAAGTCTTTGGAAAAGAGTGTTGTAGTATATAGCTTCATTTTCACTCCGATCAAGAACTGTGGTTTAGGGAAGAGTGAGCGCGTGAGTATAGTTTCATGCCGCTTTTAGCAATATTCCAACAATATGACGGCAGGGGACACCAGAAATGGGCTTCACACAGGTTTAGGGAAGAAGTAGCAACTCAAAACAAACACCATCGTAGACGTTTACCTCTTGGGTGATATTTCCGAGGAAGCTATTTTCGGACAAACCTGAAATGATAATCGTGAATGACTTTCAGAATCGGAACACAAGATTATAGAATAGCTGCCTGATAAGGATCTAGGATAACTGGGCTACACAACCCTGACTAGCCTAAGAATAATCGTACCAAAATCTTTACTCTTTGAAATGATAACAAATTCATTTTGTTTTGACTGAGGGGTGTCTGTGAACTTACCGCTGAAGACACCATCTAATGACTCATGTAAATCATATTATCTTGTGAATACCAGTCATATTCCATGCTAAATCCAGTTGAAGACACATAAGGACACAGTGAGACTGGGAGACTAACAATAATGCTGGACGGTGGACTGATGACTGATGGATTCAGGGATGACTGGAAAACACTTAACATAGGACATTCCACACACTAGTCTGGAGAAACACAATACTGTAGACAGAGAAACCCAATTAATTCAAACCCTGTTAATCTGGACACTCCACCTTATGGAGGCTACTGTATGGAAGATATATACAAGGGAACAACTCAATTCCCAGGATTTGTTAGCAGAAGAGCTGCTCCATTTCTGTTTATTAGAACCTCACCGTTTGGATTAAAAGGGTTTTACTGTATTGTATACTCCAATAACAACACATGATATAAAAAAAGACAGATTACTCTGAACAATTCAGCAGATGCGAAACATGATGCTCCCGACAGGTGTGAATACTCAAGTCGAGTCCCATGTTAATCACTGTATGTTTGTATCACAGAAGGATGTCATTATTTGGAGCTTGTCAACCTCCTCACAACAGACTTCCCATCACTTCATCACTCTGACGACACTCATCACTACACATAAATCTCTGCAGTGTTCACAGGACAACCCACTACCATGAATCACTGAGAAACTTCATCAGTACTGACTCGTCTTTGCTACTCTGCTTTTGAAGTTGGCTCGCCAATATGATTTTTTCACCTGAGTTTTGAACACTGGTCTGAGGCAAGGACGATTACATCAGCAATGTCTGATGAAGTGCTAATCCTTGAGACACTGCACACATTTATTTTTGATCACACACCTCCTGGAATTGTCTGTTGGTTAGTTCAGAGTTCCTGCTAGGACCTTGGTACTGGTGGCCTGGAGGGTAGACTTGGAACCTCGGGGAGCTGCCGCCGAATGCGGGGGTGGGGGATTCCTGGCCGCGCTACATTACCCCCCGAGGTTGGGGGTGAAGGACTCCCACCAGGGTTAGACATTGTTCGTATGACAGGGGGAGGTAACCCTGTAGCTGTTGTCACTACCCCCGTCTCACCCCTCCTGAAACAAATAATTAGTATGTGACATTTAAATGAGTAAAACATTATCTAAAGAAATTTAAAAAAATACAAATATAGTCACCTTTACCCATGAATAAAGGGTGCATATTTTACTCAAAGGCAAAAGTACCGTTGATCAATCTCACACAACTAACCTTGCTGCCATATTGCCTGGTAGAGGTGGAGTGGGCAGTTGTCTGCCGTTCGTCATAAGGGCAGCCGGAACTGGACTTTGGCTTCGTCGTGATTGTAACCTGAGACTAGGGCTGGGTGACCTTCGATGTGACCTTGTCACAACTTCCTCCTCTTCGTCTGCTTCAAATGACTCATCATGCTTCAGCCCCAGATTAGGAGCTCGGAACTTAGTTTGTGAGTATATCACACCATTTTCACTTCCACCATGTGCTCCTAAAACACTGTGAGGAGCTAAATCTTCATCATCATCTTCATCGCTGTCAGTAAGAGAGCTGTCCGTAAGCCCATCTGTCGGCTCCATCTGATCCACCACCAGAACCTGAGGGGCTCTCTCCTTTTCTAATTCTGCCATACGTCTGTTAAAACACAGTAACACTATCTGAATTAAAGCTAACAGCAACAACAATAGTTGAAGATGTAAATTGTACAATATGGATCCTCTAAAGCATGATAAGTTATTACGCCTGGGTTTTAAGCGACGCGCAATTGTTCGTCCAGTATGCACAAATGTAGAGAATGGAAAGGGACGCGCAATATTATTTATTGTACCCACAACACATCCATGACTTTGCGAAGTGTTTGATTGTTTCTTTCAGAGCAGTTATGTCCACCATTTCATCCATCAGTTCACATGATCAATGATTCATTCCAGGCTCTAAAGAAATTTTCAAAATGTGTAGTTCTCTACACCGTTACTTCACATCACCCTTAAAACTAATTATTGGGGGTCCCTGGACACCCATGTTTGTGTGTCGAGGTAAAACCCTGTTACGCCAATTGATGGATCAGTGTAGGATACAACCCAAGTTGCCCTTCAAGCACTGGAAGGCTTTCACTCACACTACATCACACAACAGATGTATGAGAACTTCAAATTGTGGAGTAGTAAGATACAGTACAACCAGAAATTATTGAGAATTAAAGAATTAAATTAATTTTTTTTTTTTTCACTCATTACTCACGTATTAAATATGAATATTAGCAGAACATAACTCCAGATTCAAAGACAGGTAAACAGTTAGTATTTTGTCAAGTCACCATGGGCAGCAATGCAGGCTTCAATGCGGCGCGGGTCATACTACTGATCAAAGAAGTTAGAAAGTCGTGGTCCATGCTGTCCCAATATCGGACCACCTCTTCTTGCATTTCAGCAATATTTGTTAGAATTTTCTTATTGACACTTTCCTTCATAAGTCCCCAAACATTTTCTATTGGATTTAGGTCAGGGCTATAGCTTGGCCAATCTAATAATGTCATATTTTGGGTCCGAAACCAGGCCTGTGAATGCTTTGAACAATGTTTTGGGTCGTTGTCCTGCTGGAAAATCCAAAAAATTCCATAGAACACATGAGCAGATGGAAGTAAATGTCCCTCGAGAATGTCTGTGTACAGCTCACTGTTCATATTCCCTTCAAATACACAGAGGGGCGTTGCCCCTAACACAGATATGCCACCCCACACGTTAAGTTTCCGAATGTACTTTGGGTGCTGATACAAAGGTTTTTCAGTTTGTTTGGTCCAGAATTTCAGTGTATTAGGAAACAGCGACACAGAACTTTCATCTGAGAAAATCACATTGTCCCAGTTAAAATTTCTATGCTGTAAGCACCAGTTCAACCTTCGCTTCTTTTGTTCAGGTTCCATGATCGGTGATGGAATTCCTCGACTTTTCTGCCAACCCACTGCATGTAGCTCAGTTCTAATTGTCTCCTTACAGACAGCCACAGTTCCTCTATCAATCATATCCAGCCTTAAGTTTTCTAAACTCCTTTGTTTGTTTTTAGAAACAAGAATACCCAACCGCCTCCTGTCACCGACAGTCAATTTTTTGGGCCTACCTGCACCTCCCTGGTGCTCAATGACATATCCATTTGCAATATTTTTTAAAACACGATACACAGTGGACAAAGGGATGCCTGTTCTACTTGAAATCACTTTAGCTGATCTGATGAGCTTGTTATAATATTCTAAAATCAACTTCCCCTTCTCTAAATCATCCATACTGAGGATCACTGAATATGTCATCTGCTAGCAAGTAAACAAAGGGGGATAACTCTTCACAAACTAATGAAAAAGGATAAACAGAGTTGTCTCTCTTGAATGAAACCAAGCACTTGATAGCTGGTCACAGGTCGTTTATACTAGAAATCCAATTAAACAAATTCCTAAAATTCTCAATAATTTCTGGTCATACCCCACAAGATCATCAAAGGACAAACAGGACATATTCCTTCCCTAGGATGCTAACAGCACTGTAACAGTTTAGGATCTTAAAAGAAAACTTGATTATCAAGTTTATCAGATCTCCATTCTGTTTTGTTTGTTTGTTGTTTACCGACCCGTGAAGATCCAGGTTAGAATTAGTCTTCAGTAACCCATGCTTGTTGTAAGAGGCGACTAACGGGATAGGGTGGTCAGGCTCATAGACACGTGTCATCATATCCCAAATGCATAGATCAATGCTCATGCTGTCGATCACTGGATTGTCTTGTCCAGGCTCGATTATTTACAGACCGCCACTATATAGCTGGAATAGTGCAGTGTAAAACCAAACTCACTCACTCACTGAGCAGTTTTCCAGCTAAATGACACATTCTGGTCTGATGTACATAGGACCCATTCTCCACCTTAGCTTTGTCTAGAGGCTGGTTAGAACGATAATATGCTAAACGTAATCACAGGACACTGTTCTTTCATAATTTTCACATGCGGCCAAACACAAGTAATTATCTTAACTTCTGTGTACTGTCGACAATACAACTTGAACATCTTGCAGCAAAAGGCCTTACTTCCACTGTCTTAGTGATCAGGACAACACTTTCTCCAGCTATCATGTATAACAGTCTTGTGACTTACTTCCACTGTCTTAGTGATCAGGACAACACTTTCTCCAGCTATCATTTATAACAGTCTTGTGACTTACTTCCACTGTCTTAGTGATCAGGACAACACTTTCTCCAGCTATCATTTATAACAGTCTTGTGACTTACTTCCACTGTCTTAGTGATCAGGACAACACTTTCTCCAGCTATCATTTATAACAGTCTTGTGACTTACTTCCACTGTCTTAGTGATCAGGACAACACTTTCTCCAGCTATCATTTATAACAGTCTTGTGACTTACTTCCACTGTCTTAGTGATCAGGACAACACTTTCTCCAGCTATCATTTATAACAGTCTTGTGACTTACTTCCACTGTCTTAGTGATCAGGACAACACTTTCTCCAGCTATCATGTATAACAGTCTTGTGACTTACTTCCACTGTCTTAGTGATCAGGACAACACTTTCTCCAGCTATCATTTATAACAGTCTTGTGACTTACTTCCACTGTCTTAGTGATCAGGACAACACTTTCTCCAGCTATCATTTATAACAGTCTTGTGACTTACTTCCACTGTCTTAGTGATCAGGACAACACTTTCTCCAGCTATCATTTATAACAGTCTTGTGACTTACTTCCACTGTCTTAGTGATCAGGACAACACTTTCTCCAGCTATCATTTATAACAGTCTTGTGACTTACTTCCACTGTCTTAGTGATCAGGACAACACTTTCTCCAGCTATCATTTATAACAGTCTTGTGACTTACTTCCACTGTCTTAGTGATCAGGACAACACTTTCTCCAGCTATCATTTATAACAGTCTTGTGACTTACTTCCACTGTCTTAGTGATCAGGACAACACTTTCTCCAGCTATCATGTATAACAGTCTTGTGACTTACTTCCACTGTCTTAGTGATCAGGACAACACTTTCTCCAGCTATCATTTATAACAGTCTTGTGACTTACTTCCACTGTCTTAGTGATCAGGACAACACTTTCTCCAGCTATCATTTATAACAGTCTTGTGACTTACTTCCACTGTCTTAGTGATCAGGACAACACTTTCTCCAGCTATCATTTATAACAGTCTTGTGACTTACTTCCACTGTCTTAGTGATCAGGACAACACTTTCTCCAGCTATCATTTATAACAGTCTTGTGACTTACTTCCACTGTCTTAGTTCCACACTTTCTCCAGCTGTCTTTACTTCCAGTGATCAGGACAACACTTTCTCCAGCTATCATTTATAACAGTCTTGTGACTTACTTCCACTGTCTTAGTGATCAGGACAACACTTTCTCCAGCTATCATTTATAACAGTCTTGTGACTTACTTCCACTGTCTTAGTGATCAGGACAACACTTTCTCCAGCTATCATTTATAACAGTCTTGTGACTTACTTCCACTGTCTTAGTGATCAGGACAACACTTTCTCCAGCTATCATTTATAACAGTCTTGTGACTTACTTCCACTGTCTTAGTGATCAGGACAACACTTTCTCCAGCTATCATTTATAACAGTCTTGTGACTTACTTCCACTGTCTTAGTGATCAGGACAACACTTTCTCCAGCTATCATTTATAACAGTCTTGTGACTTACTTCCACTGTCTTAGTGATCAGGACAACACTTTCTCCAGCTATCATTTATAACAGTCTTGTGACTTACTTCCACTGTCTTAGTGATCAGGACAACACTTTCTCCAGCTATCATTTATAACAGTCTTGTGACTTACTTCCACTGTCTTAGTGATCAGGACAACACTTTCTCCAGCTATCATTTATAACAGTCTTGTGACTTACTTCCACTGTCTTAGTGATCAGGACAACACTTTCTCCAGCTATCATTTATAACAGTCTTGTGACTTACTTCCACTGTCTTAGTGATCAGGACAACACTTTCTCCAGCTATCATTTATAACAGTCTTGTGACTTACTTCCACTGTCTTAGTGATCAGGACAACACTTTCTCCAGCTATCATTTATAACAGTCTTGTGACTTACTTCCACTGTCTTAGTGATCAGGACAACACTTTCTCCAGCTATCATTTATATTTTACAGTCTTGTGACTTACTTCCACTGTCTTAGTGATCAGGACAACACTTTCTCCAGCTATCATTTATAACAGTCTTGTGACTTACTTCCACTGTCTTAGTGATCAGGACAACACTTTCTCCAGCTATCATTTATAACAGTCTTGTGACTTACTTCCACTGTCTTAGTGATCAGGACAACACTTTCTCCAGCTATCATTTATAACAGTCTTGTGACTTACTTCCACTGTCTTAGTGATCAGGACAACACTTTCTCCAGCTATCATTTATAACAGTCTTGTGACTTACTTCCACTGTCTTAGTGATCAGGACAACACTTTCTCCAGCTATCATTTATAACAGTCTTGTGACTTACTTCCACTGTCTTAGTGATCAGGACAACACTTTCTCCAGCTATCATTTATAACAGTCTTGTGACTTACTTCCACTGTCTTAGTGATCAGGACAACACTTTCTCCAGCTATCATGTATAACAGTCTTGTGACTTACTTCCACTGTCTTAGTGATCAGGACAACACTTTCTCCAGCTATCATTTATAACAGTCTTGTGACTTACTTCCACTGTCTTAGTGATCAGGACAACACTTTCTCCAGCTATCATTTATAACAGTCTTGTGACTTACTTCCACTGTCTTAGTGATCAGGACAACACTTTCTCCAGCTATCATTTATAACAGTCTTGTGACTTACTTCCACTGTCTTAGTGATCAGGACAACACTTTCTCCAGCTATCATTTATAACAGTCTTGTGACTTACTTCCACTGTCTTAGTGATCAGGACAACACTTTCTCCAGCTATCATTTATAACAGTCTTGTGACTTACTTCCACTGTCTTAGTGATCAGGACAACACTTTCTCCAGCTATCATTTATAACAGTCTTGTGACTTACTTCCACTGTCTTAGTGATCAGGACAACACTTTCTCCAGCTATCATTTATAACAGTCTTGTGACTTACTTTAGTAAACTGGGGAATCCATTTTAAATGCAGATGTAAGCCAAACTCACAATCAGGAGAGGCATTTTGATGAAGCACTGGTTTCAAGCACAAGAAAGTTTATGTTAAGATAATCAAAAGAGATCTGGACAGAAGGAACTCATAATACTAATTCAAAATCACAGCTGTGGTGGCAAAACAGTCTGGGATGCTGATCAAAAAGGAAAATATCGTGTCAAAGTACGTTAAATTAGGATGGGTCATCCTACTTGAAATTAACATATGTACCTCCTTTACCAAATTCCACGAAAGTACCATCCAATTATTGAAATCCTTCTACATGCTTGTGTAACTGTTAAGTGGACCAGACTGACTGACTGAGTTTGGTTTTACACCGCTTTTAGCAATATTCCAGCAACATCACGGCGGGGAACACCAGAAATGGGCTTCACACATTGTACCCTTGTGGGGATTCGAACCCGGGTCTTCGGCGTGACGAGTCAACGCTTTAACCACTAGGCTACCCCACAGCCCCTTAAGTGGACCAGTACATGGAACAAAAATATAATTCTCAGTAAGAATTGCGGGAAAAAAAATCACTGATACTGTTGCCGTTATGGGTATCTCTACTTACCTATCATGTTCAACGCGCCACTCTGAGATCTCCTGTCTGGTTGATGGATCCAGCACACTGTCATCAGTAGAGATGGAGGTGATTCGCGACTCCGCTAAGGCTATGTGGTGACCAGACTGAAGAAATAACAGTAACCAGATTATCTACCATAATACAGCACTCATGAACACCCCGAAAACTACAGGTATCAAATCAAAGTATGAGATCTAATTTACATGAGACAAATCAATGTGTAACACTGTAGAAGGCTAAAGTTGCATGGTCAACAGTAAGCTGAGTTAAAATACTCCAGTGATACACACTTTGAAGACTGTGTGTTCATGAGTGAGTGAGTTTAGTTTTACGCCGCTTTTAGCAATATTCAAGTAATATCACGGCGGGGGACACCAGAAATGGGCTTCACACATGAATGAATGAATGAATGAATGAATGAATGCATGAATGAATGAATGAATGCATGAATGAATGAATGAATGAATGAATGAATGAATGAATGAATGAATGAATGAATGAATGATTAATACCACACTCAGCAATATTCCAGCTATATGGTGGCGGTCTGTAAATAATCGAGTCTGGACCAGACAATCCAGTGATCAACAGCATGGACATAGATCTACGCAATTGGGATACGATGACATGTGTCAACCAAGACAGCGAGCTGGACTACCCGATCCCGTTAGTCAACTCTTACGACAAGCATGGGTTACTGAAGACCAATTCTAACCCGGATCTCCACGGGTTGGACTGAATACTGTGTTCTCCCCACCTCCGCTATCAGCCTCTGCTTGTCCTTTCTCCAGCTCCTCCTCAGATGACCTCCGAACTTTCCTCCTGTTCTTAAGTGCTCGGGAAGGGTTCCCACAGATGACATTCCCAAGGGTAAGGTCACTTGTAGCATCCACCTCCACAGATTCTGATTCAAATGCACACCATCAGTTAGAAACTATATACAAGAATGGGGTTGACAATAAGGCTGTCATCTTGAGTCCATAAACTGTAAGTAATGACAGATTGCCAAAGCTGACATTCACCTTGCTATTGCTAATTAACTGAACAAACAACAAACACCATTTTTTATTATTATCTACTTTAATATGTTGTCTAAACATATCAGAAGAAATAACTTAAAAAGATTCAATAGTCTTTTTTGTAGTATACGAATAAAGAAAATAATCCAGACTAATTAGCCAAATCTAGGCAATAAGTGGGGGACTTTGGTAAAGCTAGTGTAACCAAGATGAGCTTCTAAGTTAGAACTACAGGTTGAGGATTTGTGCCCTGTACATCAATAGTGTGCTTATAATATCACTTACAGGACTGGTTTTTTTTAGTTTGTTGTCATAAGAGTACTGAATCCTGCATTGTGCACAGTGCACCTATAAATTGATAGTCTGTCTCACAGTCCCTGAACCACATTATTTTCCCCACTGCCAAGCTCTCTCTGCAGTGCTAAAGCCCTAAATAAAGCTAGTCTAGATTTCCAATCTCTGGTCTCCCTGGGGCTCCTTTTCAATTTATATGGGCTTGTTTGTTACTATCAAAATTATACATATTCAGAGAAAAGGATTAGTCTAATAAATTGACTATGTGATGTACTGTAAAGCTTGTTCTTACCACTAGAACCTGGTCTGGCCGTGGTTGGCCTGGCGCTGGTGGTTGGCCTGGCGCTGGTGGCTGGACGGGCTGATACAGGTCGGGTAGCAACTGATGAAGCACGACCACTTGTTGGACGGAAGCTTGTGGTCGGCCTCCTGAGGGATGTACCAGGCCGGTAGGCTGTAGCTGGACGAAGTGCTGCTGTGCCAGGGCGGGAACCTGAACACATCGCTTGTATGTTTCAGCTACAGTTAACCCAACTTCATTATTGAGAGTTTCAACATAATCAAAATGCAGGAAAAAATTCTTTATCAAATTTATAGAGCATTTTCAGATAAGAAATTCATAAGTAGGTCAAGGATCAAAATGAGACAAAAAATTAGATAAAAACTGAAGACACTGAGTAATAGGTAACAAAGACACCAAGAAAGCTGGTTTCAAACTCGATGTTTTTTTACTGGATTTGATGTCATTGCTAATATCAACTATCGGTACACAATATCCCAGCTTCATAAACTCCAATGTCTCCAGGGGCGGTGGGGTAGCCTAGTGATTAAAGTGTTCCCTCGTCATGCCAAAGGCCCAGGTTCAATTCCCCACATGGGAACAATGTGTGAAGCCCATTTCTGGCGTACCTCAAGGTGATGTTGCTGGAATATTGCTAAAAGGTGGCGTAAAAGCATACTTATTCACTCACTCACTCACTCCAATATCTTTAAAATATCCTAAAAATATAACTATGAGCAGATGACAGGTTACCAAGGTTACAGAAATGGAAGAACAGGAAAATTTGTCATAAAGCAAAAAAAAATGTTATTAAAAACATATACTTTTCAAAATCGGTCCAATGAACAAATATGTAATTTTTAGAGTAAAATTGATATTTTATACTTATCCTGACTCATGCTCTTTTTGCTTGTCTTCTTCTTCTTGCGAACATAGTGGAACACTTGTATCTCCCTAATTGAAGCTCCCTTCAATGTAAAATCACTAATTAGTACTCAGCCCGAGTTACCTCCCTTCCACAAGCGCGGGAACGAGGGCGCCACCTCCACCCATGTGCCTCACTCTCTCCTCATATACTTTCGAGCCCAACATTTGAATTTACAGGAAATCCAAAGTGTTATGTGGGGAGGATGGGAGGGCTTACCTCATGAGTCAGGATAAGTATAAAATATCAATTTTACTCTAAAAATTACATATTTTTCCTTATCCTGACTCATGCTCTTTTTGCTTGTAGAGTCTGACGGAAAGGGAGGTGGGAAATATATAATACTTTGGATTTTAATAATTAGTGATTTGAACTGTGATGATTGTAATAACCCTATGGGAACTTCATAAAGGTACTGAACTGATGAATTCCTGCTGCTAACTTATCAGCTGCCATATAAAGGTTATTACAATGTACTTATTATGATAAAGTATATATAACATTAATACAATTCTTAAGACTAATAGACTTAAGCTTGTTAATATGCTAGTATAAACTCCTTAGAGTTTGTTAGCTAAAATACTTTAAGATATAAACATAGTACTAAGCTTAAGATATGATTAAACTTAAGCTAATTATATAATAGCAAAACTCTTTAGAGTTTGTTAGTTAATATACTTATATGATATAGATATAATGCTGAGCTTTTAGATATGAATAAGCTTTAGCTACATATATAATAGCAAAACTCTGTAGAGTTTGTTAGCTAATATATTTTACAATATGAGTATAGTACTGTGCTTAAGATATAATTAACTTAAGCTACATATATAATAGCCAAACTCTGTAGAGTTTATTAGCTTATAGATTAATAATGTAACCATAGTACTAAGCTTAAGATAAGATTAGACTTAAGCTAAATGTATATAGCAAAAAACTCCTTAGAGTTTATTAACTAATATACTTTTATGTTATAACTATAGTACTGAGCTTAAGATATAATTAAACTTTAAGCTATATATATATAGCAAAACTCCATTGGAGTTTTGTTAGCTAATACATTTTATAATGTAACCATACTGCTTAAGATATGATGAAACTTAAGCTAATTGTATAATAGCAAAAACCCTTTAGAGTTTGTTAGCTAAAATACTTATATGATATAAAACCTAGTATTGAGTTTATGAAGGAAACCTTAAGCTACATATATAATAGCAAAAACTCCGTAGAGTTTGTTAGCTAATATACTTATATGATATAAACATAGTATTGAGCTTAAGATTTGAAGGAAACTTAAGCTACATATATAATAGCAAAAACTCCGTAGAGTTTGTTAGCTAATACAAGTTATAATGTAACCATAAAGCTTAAATTATGATGAAACTTAAGCCAAATATATAATAGCCAAAAACTCTTTTAGAGTTTTGATAGCTAAAATACCTATATGATATAAACATAGTACTGCGCTTAAGATATGAATAAGCTTAAGTTACATATAGCAAAAAACTCCGTAGAGTTTGTTAGCTAATACATGTTATAATGTAACCATATTGCTTAAGATATGATGAGACTTAAGCCAAATAGCAAAAACTCTTTAGAGTTTGTTAGCTAATATACTTATATGATATAAACATAGTACTGAGCTTAAGATATGAATAAGCTTAAGCTACCTATATAATAGCCCAAACTCTGTAGAGTTTGTTAGCTTATATATTTTTACAATCTGAGTATAGTACTATGCTTAAGATATAATTAAGTTAAGGTAAATATATAATAACCAAACTCTGTAGAGTTGTTAACTTATATATTGTATGATGTAATAATAATAGTACTGTGATGATAAAAAGAACTTAAGCAAATTATATATAGCATGTAGCTATTTAGTACTGTTATAAGATAAGTAGAAATCTGTAAGATTGACTTATCTTCTCCAGGAACTGTCAACTGTTGTGCGAGGACCATGGGATCGAATTGGTGGATACCTGAGACGCCCTCGATGATATCTCTCAGATAATGGTTGGCAACCACCATATAGGATCTCCAGAAAATAAACCCTCCATTATTTCAAATAACGTTGTGTAGATCAATGCAGAAGTTAAGCTCTAATATCATGAGTATTAAAAGCTCCTGGAGGTCGGATTGGGTCCATCCGTCTTGTATGCACGTAGTATGACAGTTCTGATCCAAACGGAGATATAGTACGTGAGATTTCATTCTGCGTAAGTTGATGATAGAGGAAATAATCTGTTGTATTATTCCCTTCTGTTTGGTTCGTGGAGATAGATTTACAGTGCTCTTGCTGGCCATCGTGATAGAATCATCGATCATGAAGTCCAAGTATGTCATCCAGGCGTGTTCATAAACCTCACTTGTGAGGTGTTGGAGCACCATATTCAGATCCCCAAGTTGGAGGTGAAACTTCCGCTATAATTCTCCAATCAGAAAGTTTAAGTAGGTTTACTAACCATCTAGTTGTGTTAGTAGCTTGATTATGAAATTCAGCTGTAGTCTGAGAGGCGCTGTGGATTTAGATCCACTTGTATCCCGTCGCCTAGGTTATTCGCCATGCAAGTCCTTGACGATGTAGGTGCACAACCAGGTGTATCTGTCCCTCGTTGAAGTTTATGTAAAATTGCCTGACTGCCGCGCCCTCGTCCCTAACTTGACAGGGAAGGTCTCTAACCTGAAGAAAGTTCAATCATGAAGGTTCAGATTAACTGGACTGTAAGGAGGCTTGCTCATTCACTGATATATAGTTGTCACTTGTAACGTAAGTGTTGACCTGTGAACTAAGATCGACCTCTGTGTAGGTCGTTGTCCAACGCGGTCCAATCAGAACAAGGCATTTTGATTCTGTAGAATACCCGCCAATGATGTCACCGTGTAGCAGGAAAAACCTTGTATAAAATCTTGCCGTCGTTGATATTAGCATAATCGCCGGTCTTCACCGTAGCTTCCCGGTTACCCGAAAGTGACCACATGTTTCGAGGGTTAAAGGTAAACGCTAAACCTCCGCGCGAAATACCTCCTCTGTAATATTAATGCTGGGTAGGTTATTTTCCTGGCTGTCGTGAAAGTAACTTCAGTTTTGAATATAATTCGACTTTCTTATATAAAGGTACAATAAACTTGCAAGTTGTCAGCTTGTAGACTGTATACATGAATGTATCGTCATAATTGTAGAATTAAAGCTGAACTTGTTGTACATATTTCTTCTCAGAAACTTTGACGATTATGAGTTATACTCGCTGTAACAAAGGCTGCTGTTCAATTTCGATATTGAATTGTCTGCAGATCTGCGTAATGGTCACGCATGTAGATAATCGTGATCGTAGTCCGGGATTGCATATTCTAGCAATCTATAATGAAAGGTTGATTTCTGTGAAGATCTATGCAACGCCATTGATTAATTAATATAGCGACGTTCTGTGTTGTAAATAGCCTGTGCAATTGTCTTCGCGTAGGGCTTATAGATCGGCATATGGCATACAGTTGATAGACAACTTATGCGCGATGTCTTGAACGGACTGGACGAAAGTAGCTATATATGACGAAAGTGGCTAATATATGGAGACCTTGGAGGAGAATTCCTCGGTGGACGGCGGAGATTTCGCTAAGCTCGAGTATCCAATCTAGATTTCTTGTGTGAGGTAGACTTGAGAGCCTTAGCCTTCGCTCTTCGACCTCGAAGGTATTGAGTCAGAGCCTGATCAGTATATATATAATATATGAGCTTGCTTCAGCGAATCGACCTCTGTGTTCAACAGGAGTGAGTGAGTGAGTGTATTGTTTTACCGCGACTCAGCAATATGTGGGGTCGGTGAAGCGCCTACTCCTCCGTGGACGCCCCTGTAACTGGTGAGGCTCTAGCTCCTTCAGCGGAGGTGGCCTGGGGACTTCTCATAGCCGGTAAGTGTCTAGAAACCGATCAATATATGAGCGTTAGCTTCATACAGGTGTGTGGTTCTTGCTGGTTCTGCATAAGTAGAGCGGAGTAGATCATCCTATCATCTTCAGAAGTCGTGTCAACCAAATCTGGTGATAAGAATCTCATTGATCGCTCTAGATCTATTAATGCCAATAACATACCCCTCTGGCTTATGAACTGTTATGGCTTTATGGTAGGCTGTGTCCACATACTGTGGCACCGCAGCAATCGAGTCGATTGGAGGTAAGGTGATGGCGTCTGCCTCGTCTTCCTTTATCAGGTATGTCTGCGCCGAGTTGCCACTCTTGGAAGGTGAAGAGAGATCTAGGTTGTTTACCATCCAATATCGTATCTCAGCGT